GTTAAGGTAACGGATAGGGTTAGATTAGGTTTAGATTTTTTTAGAGTTAGAATTAGTGATAGTTTTAGGATTAGAGCTATGGTTATGTTTAGGTTTATGGTTAGGTTTATGATTTGATCTAGAGTTAGGGCTATGCTGAGTTTAATTTTAGGGTTATGTCTATGATTAGTTATCTGGTTAGGGTTAGGGATAACATTAGGGTTCGGGCTAGGATTATCAATAAGTTTAGGTTTAGGGTTAGGGTACTGGGTTGGTTTAGAGCTAGGATTAGATCTAGGTTAAGTTTAGGATTTGGGCTATGGTTAGTGTGAGAGTTAGGTATAGGTCTAGGCTTATGTTTAGCATAAGGGTTAGGCTTTTAGCTATCTTAGGTCTAAGGTGAGGGCTAAGGTTAGGTACAGGGCTAGTATTAGGGTTAGAGTTATGTTAGGGCTAGGTTTAGGCCTAAAATTACCTCTATGTTTGGAGTTAAGTTTAGGCCTAAGGTTAGGGCTATGGGTAATGTAAGATCTAGAGTTATGGTTAGTGCTAGTTTTATGGTTAGAGTTAGGGTTATGACGGGTTCTAGAATTAGGTTTAGGTTTTGGTTAGTTTCAGGTTTAGTGGTAGGTTTAGTGTGAAAGCCAGGGTCAGTGTTTGGGTTAGAGTTAAAGTTAGGGTTAAATCCAGAATTAGTACTAGGTTTAGGTCTAGGGGTAGAGTTAGTGTTTGGGTTAGGTAAAGGATTTTTAGGGCTAGGGCTAGGATTTTGTTTAGGTGTAGAGCTATATTTCAGGCTATATTTAGAATTAAGTTTAGGTCTAGAGCTAGTGGTAGGTTTAGGTTTAGGTATAAGTTTACAAGAAGGGCTAATGTTAGGATTTTGTTTAGGGTTATGGTCAGGTTTAGCCCTAGGGTTTATGTTATGGTCAGAATTAGGTTCAGGGTTAGGGTTAGGGTTTGGACTAGCATTAGAGATAGAATGAAATCTAGTATTAGGACTATTAATATGGTTAGGATTTGGTTAGCCTAAGGGTTAGGGATAAGTCTAGGGTTATCATTAGGATTAAGGTTTTTCTCAGGGTAAGGCATAGGGTTAGGCCTAGGGGTAGGTTTATGTTTAGGGTTAAAGCTAGGCTTAGGCCTCAGATTAGGGTGAGTTTTTGTGTGAGGTTTAAGGCTAGGGTAGGGCAATGGCTAATATAAGGACTGGGGTTACAATTAGGCTTAGGTGTAGGGGTAGGTCAAGTGTTAAGGTTAGGTTTAAGATTAGGGTGACATTTATAGCTAGAGATAATGTTAGGATATCAGTCAGGTCACGGTTAATTTTAGGGTTAGGGTTAGTACTCGAATTAGGGCTAGGTTTATTTTAGGGTTCAGTTTAATTTTAGGGTGGTGTTTAGAGAAAGGATGAGTGTAAGGATATAAGTCATGTTCAGGGTTATTTTTAAGGTTATGATTAGGACTCGATTTAGGGCTAAGGTTAGTCTAGCTGTAGTGCTAGTGTATAGTTTAAATTAAGGTTAGTGTTTGGCCTTTTGCTCGCTTTTGTTTTAGTGCTATGGTTAGGGTTAGGGCTAGTTTTATGATTAGCTTTAGGGTTAGGGCTAAGGTTATGGTTAGGTTTAGGATTAAGGCTAGATTTAAGGCTAGTATTAGGACTAGGTTTTGTGTTAGGTTTAGGGCAAGAATTAGGGCTAGGACTACTGTCAGGTCTAGGTTTATAATTAGTGATAATTTTAGGGTTAGGTTTAGGGCTAGGTCAAATTAAAGTGTTACGTTTAGGGAAAGGGTCAGATTAAGACCTGGGGTATTATTAGAGTCAGGGTCAGGCTTCAGGTTTGGGTTAGGTTAAGGTTTATAGTTAAGGCTCAAATTAGCATTAAGTTAGAATTAGGGTTAAGGTAATGGATAATGTTAAGTTTAGGGTTCAGGTTAGGTTTAAGGTAATGGATATGGTTAGGGTTTGTGATACGTTTAGGGTTAGGCCTAGGGTTAGCGTTAGGGTGGTGGATATTATAGGGTAATTTATAGGGTTACATCTAGGGTTAGGGCTAGGATAATGGTTAGAATTAGGGCTAGATTTAGGGTTATGGACAGGGTTATAGGAAGGGTTACATTTAGGATTAGGTTTAGGGGATTGTTTAGGGTTTGAGCTAGGATTTTTGCTATGGCTAAGGTTAATTTAGGGTTTGGTCTTGGTTTATGGTCATGGTTAGTGTTACAGTTAGGGCTAGTGTTATCATTAAGGTTAGGGAAAAAGGTTTAGATGTCAGGTTAAATATAGGGTTAGGTTTAGGTTTGCATTAGGTTTAGGTTTAGGATTAGGGTTAGGGCTTGAGCTGCTTAGATTTAGGGTTAGGGTTAGATTTACTGTTAGTTCTACAGTTAGGTTTATGTTTAGAGTTAGGGTAGGTTTAGCTTTAGGTCTAATGTTATCATTAGGGTTAAGTATAGGGTTACAGTATTGGGTATGGTTTGAACTAGGGTTAGGACTAGGGTTAAGGTTAGGATTAGGGCTGGGGTTAGGGTTAGGGTTAGTCCTTGGGTTACAGTTAGTTTTAGGTTAAGTGTAAGGATTAGGGATTGAGCTAGATTTAGGGCTAGGGCGAGGGTTAGGGTTACAGTCTGGGTTAGGGTAGGGTTAGGATTAGGTTTAGGGCTAGGGTTATCATTAGTTTTAGGGTCATGGTTAATGTAATGCATAGAGTTAGAGCTAGGGTTTGGGATATGGTTACAGTTAGCGTTAGGGATGGAGTTAGGATGAGGTTTAGTGTTTGGGCTAGGGTTATGTTTAGGGTAAGGTTTAGGGTTTGAGCTGGGGTTAGGGCTAGAACGAGGGTTAGGTTTATGGTTAGGGCTAGGTTTAGAGCTGTAATTAGGGCTAGATTTTTTGTGATGTTTAGGGCTAGTTTTAGGTATATGGGAAATGTAAGAGCTAGAGTTATGGTTATGGCTAGATTTAGAGTTTGTCTAGTGGTAGGGTTAGATTTTGAGATAGGATAATGTTTAGAGTTAGGGTTTTTGTTAGGGTAAGTGTCAGTTTTCAGGTTATGATTAGTTTTAATGTTAGGTCCAGAATGAGGACTAGGGTAGGTCTAGGGGTAGGGTTATGGTTTGGTTTAGATTAAGAATTATTGTTAGGGATAAGGCTAGGGTTATGACTATATTTAGAATTAGGTTTAGGTCTATTGCTAGTGTTAGTGTTAGGTTTAGGGTTAGGGTTACAGGTAGGGCTAGTGTTAGGTTTCAGATAAGGTTTAGGGTCAGGTTTAAACCTAAGTTTAAACTTAGGGTAAGAATAAGGGTCAGAGTTAGGTTTAGGGTTTGGGTTAAGTTTAGAGCTAGAATGAGGGCTAGGTTTAGGACTAGTAGTAGAGTTAGGGTTTGGGGTAGGCATAGAATTAGGGTTAGGACTAGGATAGCAATAGGGTGAGGGTTTGACTAAGTGTAAGTAATAGGTTTAGAGCTAGGATTAGGACTAGGGAGAGCGTTAAGGTTAGGGCCAGGGTTAGGGTTAGGGTTAAAGCTAGGTTTAGGCTTGAATTAGGGCTAGGTTTTGTGTTAGGTTTAGGAATATGTCTAATTTAAGAACTGGCTTTACGATTAGGGCTAGTTTTAGGGTTATGTTTAGGTTGACGTCTAGTGTTAGGATTAGGTTTAGGGATAGGGTGATGTGTAGAGCTAGAGTTAGTGTTAAGGTCAGAGTCAGAGTTAGTATTAGTTCTGGGGTTAGAATTAGGACTCGAATTAGGTGTAGGGTTAGGGTTTGGTTTAGGTTAAGGATTAGGGTCAGTGCTATGGCTCGGTTTGGCTTGAGGGCTAGGTCTAGGATTAGAGCTAGTTGCAAATTAGTGTTAGGGTTAGAGCTAGTGTTAAGGTGTGGTTTTGGCTTAGAGTTAGGGTTATATTTACAGTTAGGGTTAGATCTAGGTTTAGGGCTACAGTGAAGGTTAGGGCTAGGGTTAGGTCTAGGGTTTGAGTTATCATAAGTGATATAATTAGAACTAGGGATAGGGGTAGGGCTAGACTTAGAGTTAGTGTTAGTGTTAGGGTTAGATTTAGGGTTAGAATTAGGGCTCAGTTAGGGTTAGGATTATAGGTAGGTTTAGTATTAAGGCTGAGCCTAGGTTTATGGCTAGGGTTATGGTTATGGTTGAAAGACCCGCCGATTCCCTGTCCAAGAAAGACGCACGAGGCACTGGCTGCAAAAGCAAGAGGCGATTTATTGCTACACAGGCGCCTGTGGGTGCTCAGCGAGACCTCAGCCGGAGCTGCGGCGAACTGGCACACCGGGCTCTAGGGCACAGATTTTTTATAGGGAGCAGGGGGTTAGTTTTTAGCTTAGCACAGTAACAGTTATTCTATTGGTTCCTCTGAATTCAGCCTTTAGGTCACCTGGGGGGTAAACTTGTTTTCCCACTTTAGTTCTCGGAAAAACCATAAAATTGCATCCTGTCCTTTTAGTTCCTGTTTTTACCCTGTTTGCTCAAGTTTGGCCCTTCCGGGGTTATCTATATGGAACATCTTGTGGTAACATTGTGCGAGACTTGAAGTGCTACGTGCAGCTGGTGGGGTTTTGACATGGGGGTTGGGTAAGGGAACATCTTGCAGCTTCAGGGCACAGGGGTTAGTTTTCCTAATGTTGGGCCTGGGGCCTTGGGGTCCTTCATTCCCCCCTTTTTTTTATATCATGGATATAATCTTATATCCATTGACCCATCTGCTCGGATTCCAGCATTATTTCAGCTGACGGCTCAGCATACTGGTTGGGGGTTGGTATTTACTATTAGTCTAATTTTGAATAGGACCCCAGGGTCATAGGCAGTTTTATGATATACTTTCAGGCCCCATTGCTTTCCTTTTATCCAATCTTTTGATGCTTTGCCTGCCTGAGTAAAGGTAATGTTTAAGGGATTGCAGGCAAATGCGGTACATGGCCCTTCCCCGTACCATTTCAGACTCCTGCAAGAGTCGGCAGAAAGTGGGGGATCCTGTTTTTTTTTTTTTTTTTATTTGAATTAAATCCTAACATGAGCTTGGCTTCTACTATGCATCCCCCGTAGTTTTATATCCCCAAGACTTATAATAGTAACTTTCATGTTGCCCACATTTTTGTGCCTGCGACCTAGTTTTCCCGTCCCTAGGGCATACATAGAAGGGTTTTTCTCTTAGAGCCGCTCGAGCTCTCAGATCTTTACACCCTGTTGGACGATTTATATAGGTGCAGTGTCCACTGGTGACGCACGCTTCTGACTCACCTGGGCTATCAAAGTCGTTTGCCCCAGCCAGCAGGTGACAAAGATCAGGCCCTAGGGTAGGCCATCAAGCCCAAAGGGGGTATTTTGCGGATTTTTTTTTTTAAATTATATTTCTTGTCCCCGATAATACTTGTCATGTCTGGCTCACAGATTGGTTGGGGTTAACTGATATGGGGAAGACACAGCACAAAGCAAGAAAAATAACAGCGAGTGAGTCTTATCTTTAGCGGATTTTGGGTACGTTGCAACTTCCATTCTGGATCCGGAGAGGTGTCTGCAGACTCCTGTGGATGTGCAGTCTTCACGTGGGAAGCGTGGATCTAAGCAGCGATGCCGTCCACTTTGAGTGCAGTAGGAGTGGTCAGCAGGATAGTGTAGGGTCCTTTTCACCGCGGTTCGAGGTTCCTGCTCTGGTGCCTGCGTACCCAGACGGTATCTCCGACCTTGAAGGGATGTGGCAGCAAGGGGGTTTTAAGTTCCTCTTTGTATGCTGCGGCTAGAGGCTTCCAGACCTCGTTCTGGACCAATTGCAAAGCATGCAAATGAGTCTGCATAGATGGGGTGAGGGAGGCATAGGTTTTAGTTTCATAAAAGTTAATAGTGGGAGGTGGGGCACCGTACAGGATTTTAAATGGGGTTAGTCCATGTGGGCCTGGGGTGTTTCGGGCCCCATACAAGGCTAAAGGTAGGAGTTGTACCCAGTCTCTAGTGCCAGTTTCAAGTGTCAATTTAGTTAAAGTCTCCTTAATGGTTCTATTTATCTTTTTTTTTCTAAGAAGGCTGTCGGAGTTTCCTCTGACCCCTGGATAGTCTGTCTTACCTGAGCCAAATTGGTGGGCCGTCGCCCTGCTCCATGGAGACCCCCTTGCTCCATGGAGACCCGCTATGAGTAACTGGCGATAGAGACGTAGGTGGTTCTCACCTGCTTCAGTCGCATAGTCCCAGTTTGGCCGGGTTAAAGGAAAAGCTTCATTAATCAAATTTGTGAGTTGGGTGGGGCGCCCAACATCCCCTGGCACATTTTTGCGAGCTTCCAAGAGAACCTTTTGTTTCTCCTCTGTGTCTAATAGAGAAATCTTTAATTCTGCTACTTAGGGCTGGATAACCATATTAGCAAACATCAAGTCTACCTGCGTTGGCTAGAAATAAAAGCCTTAGACTAAAACTATTCTAGTAGTCCCTTTGACAGTTATCAGGCATTTCTGTCTAAGAATCTCTCTTGTAGCCTCCAGTCTATTTATTTATGGAAGTTACATTTAATTATTATTATCATTTAAGATGTCCAGGAACAGCTGTGCTTTGGCTTTGACTGTCTTTGCTAAGTGTTTAAGATGAAGCAAGTCAAACTGACTTTTGTTTCTACCTATTGTTTACAGTCAGCTGAGTTATCCTGGGAGTCCTCGGGAACTTCATAGCAGCTTTTCAGTTCTGCTAGTGCCATTTGCGCTAGGATGGGTCCAGGCCTTGTTTGACCGTATGGCTTCCCTCAGAAGCATCAGGGATGTCTCCCTTTTTTAATGACCCTCCTCTTTACAGCAAATGCACCATTTGGCTTTCTGTCCTCCACTGGTCTCATTAATCTCCCTGCTCAGGAGGTTATGTGGCCTAGAGTTGCTGAGCCCTTTGGAGAAGTCCCCTATTCCCTGATTCAGACTGACTCAGAGGGCAAGAGCCAAATATTGGTTTTTTTGGCCCTTTTAATTTAATTAATTTTAAAAACTTGATCTTAAACATCCAGCAAATAAGTTAACATCCTTATATTAAGAGCACTGGGCTTTAATGTCTATCTCTCTATCCTGTAGGTGATAACTCTTTATCTTATGTTGACCCAGGTTGTGTTCTTAAAGCAATACCTCTTTAGAATATTAATAGGAAATCCTTAAACCATCTATAAGCAAACTACAAAACAAAACTAACTAGGGTAAAAACATATTTAGCTTATATAATAGCTACCTTGAATTCTGGCAGGGTTATACATCATAATTTCCTGTTTGAGATCCTAGTAATCTTGGCAAAAACCTACTTTTGGACACAACTTTAACTGTACTGAAATCTGGCTTACTTTTTTCATAGCCACTTTCACATGTAGTGAGATGGGACAGAGCCTTATCTCAAGTAAGGCAGGGCTCTTTATAAATCTCAAGTACTATAGTTCTGAAGCTGATCATTTTACAAAGTTTACATAAATTGTTGTTCAAGTTTACATGAACATTAGCTAACACAACATAATATCACACCTAAAATATGAATTAAAGGCTGAAAGCTTTTAACCTCTTGTAGAAAAGTAGTAATGTACTTTTGTGTTTTGCAATAAAACCTTCACATAGATTAGGCTCTTATTAACTTAAAAATACATAAATTGTATCTTAGAGTAGAAAGTAACATGGAACCGTACATATCTTATTGATAACAAGTTCAGTTATAGAACACAAATGATATAATTGAATCTCCAACATTTATTTTTTAAGCCTAAAATTACCATACAACTTTAGAACACCAGCTTGATATAATGTTCTTTTGAAGCTTCTACCTTACAGACTTGTATACCTGGAAGATATGAACACATTAATAACACCATAATTATATAAACCTCCTTTTGTTCACATTTTGAAACAATACTTGTAAACTTTTAAATTTAAGCAGAGTTAACATTTTATTAAGGCCTTTTTGAACACCTAGAGAAACTTATAAGCTTAATTTTGAGGACATCTTTACTTTTATCTGTTTACCCAATCTAAATTGAACCGTTTGAATCAAGTGAATTAAAGATATTTGGATCTATTTTTAATTTTTTTTTTCAGGCTACCCAGTTCAAAATTGAAACTTTTATTTTTTTTTTTTATCCCAAGTATTTAAGTTTTCTAGCATGAACTATCTGAAATCAAACTAAACAATTGCTTAAACCCAACTTTTAACTGCAAGATAGTGCAATGCTTTAGAAACCCATTCAGATACCAGATTGTTACAATAAAAAATTATTATTATTTATTTTTTTAGACACACATTTAACCTAGATTATCCCTAAGAAACAATCAGACAACCAGATAAGAAAATATTTCTCCAGGTTTTGAACTTTCATTTAATTATGACTCCCATCAGTGGCACCATAGACTTTCCTATGAGTGGACCAGATGTTTTCACGTAGGGGCAACTATAGGTGTAAAATCAAGGGTCTCAGTGTGACTGGCTTTACTGCATTCAGTGTCCCTTCTTTTTAAGTAAACACAGGTTAAGTAAACAGATCCTTAAGATGTAGATAAGGACCCAGGGAACTCCCCAGAGCTAAATGGCTCTGGCAGCTGCTGGGAGTCCCTTAATCCTATCTTTCACCCACAGGATCAGTTCCTCTAGTTTAGGCTTTTTTTTTTTTTCTAACTTGTTAGTAGCCAGTTCCCAAAAAGTCCATCCTCTGCTTGCAGTTGTTTCGAGTGCTAGGCTTCCCCAAGAAAGCAGAGTGGGAACTCCTTAAAAGTCCCCTTGAGGGTGTCAAAATTTGTGACTGAAAATTTGGTTCCCATCTCTAAAGCCAATTAACACTAATTTAATAATGAGGACAGGGCTTTGAGAAAAGTCAAAGCGAGATGTCAAAGTTGTTAAATCCCCAGCAGGCATCTCTATTTGCACTCAAGCCGGTTATGGGGGGGGAAGAAAACATTGCTTCCCTAGTCTCAGTATTCAGCCTTAGATGGAATTTATCATCCGCCTTGGGCTGCATTTCCAAGCAGCCCGACTCCAGGAAGACCCGTTCGCTTCCTGGGGTGGAGGGGCCGGGAGGAACAGGGACGGGACTGATCCTGGCGGACTGCATGGATCCCACCCATGCAGGAGGAGATTCGCAGAGGTCCTGAAAGGTTAAAAGCCATGATCTGGATGGCCATGCGGCCCCGGCCGAAAGACAATCTCTGACTTTGCAGATTACAGAGAGAGATGTAGGGACTCTCCTGGGGGCCATTCAACTTCGAGGGTGGGCCAATATTGGCCACTCCGTGGTACAGAGTGTTACCCATTTTTTTTTTTTTAATTTTTATTGACTGGTTGTTTGCCCGATTTCGGACGTCCTGCCAATGGTCAAGGGCGAGACTCAAGGGAGTTGTTATAGATTGTCCCATGTTAGTCTCAGGTGGAACGAGAAAATGCAGAGGCAAGGAGACAGATACAAATCAGACAGGACACAAAACACAAAGAACACTGCGCAGCTTCGGCACAAACCGGAAATATCAGATTAGGGGGAGGAGGAACTCCATCACCCAAAAGAACAGTGTACTCTTTGAAAACATTTAAGGGCCCCAAAATACTCTCAGAGAGGAAATAGAGAGACAGACACAACGACACAAAAACGAAATCAAACAGTGAGATCGCTGCGCGGCTTCGGTGGAAACCAAAAAAATCAGATGGCCTGGGAGAAGTTCGTACTTCTCCTTCGCCTACAAAGATGGTGTAATCTTCGGAAACACCGGGGGGCCCCAAAGAAATGGACCCCTCTGATCCCTGGGACGTCTCCCAGGGTGGCAGGGGAGAAGTCCGAGTTCATCAACTCCTTCTCAAACTGCCTCAGAATACTAGATGACTACAGAACTGCCTCAGAATACTAAATGACTATGCCTAGGATCATATAGTCTTACAGACGCTGCGCGGAACAGAGAACAGATAGCCAACAGGACAACAAGACAGAAAGTTTGAGCTGGCCAGCTTACCTCCCAGTGATGTCGGGAGTTCCTCGGGCAGGGATCCGGAAGGGGTTACAGGAGTACTCCTGGCTGGCTCGCCAAATGAAAGACCCGCCGATTCCCTGTCCAAGAAAGACGCACGAGGCACTGGCTGCAAAAGCAAGAGGCGATTTATTGCTACACAGGCACCTGCGGGTGCTCAGCGAGACCTCAGCCGGAGCTGCGGCGAACTGGCACACCGGGCTCTAGGGCACAGATTTTTTATAGGGAGCAGGGGGTTAGTTTTTAGCTTAGCACAGTAACAGTTATTCTATTGGTTCCTCTGAATTCAGCCTTTAGGTCACCTGGGGGGTAAACTTGTTTTCCCACTTTAGTTCTTGGAAAAACCATAAAATTGCATCCTGTCCTTTTAGTTCCTGTTTTTACCCTGTTTGCTCAAGTTTGGCCCTTCCGGGGTTATCTATATGGAACATCTTGTGGTAACATTGTGCGAGACTTGAAGTGCTACGTGCAGCTGGTGGGGTTTTGACATGGGGGTTGGGTAAGGGAACATCTTGCAGCTTCAGGGCACAGGGGTTAGTTTTCCTAATGTTGGGCCTGGGGCCTTGGGGTCCTTCATGGTTATGGTTAGGTATAATGTTATAGATAGCTTTAGAACTAGGGTGAGGGTTATAATTAGGGTTAATTTTACTGTTAGGGTTAGGTTTAGAATTAAGGCTAAGAAAAGGACTAGGATTAGGGCTAGAGTTTGTTTTAGGGTTAGGGCTTTATTAGGGCTAGGGCTAATGTCAGGTCTCGGGTTATGGTTAAAGATAGTTTTAGGGTTAATATTATGAGGGTTAGGATTAGGTTTATGGATATGCTTAAGTTTAGGGTTCAGTTTAGGTTTAGGGTAATGTATAGGTTAAGGGTTATGAATAGGTTTAGGGTTATCCTAGGGTTAGCATTAGGGTTAGGATTAGGAATAGGGTAATGGATAGGATTACAATGGGGATATAGCTAGGTTTAAGGTTAGGATAAAGGCTAAGGTTAGGGTTAGGTTTTGGGTTATGTCAAGTGTTAGGGTCAGGGTTAGGTTTAGGGTAAGATTTACGGCTAGAATTAGGGTTATGGTTGGGGTTATATGTAGTGATAGGGCTCAAATTAGGGATAGGTTTTGGTTTAGGTTAGGGCTAGGTTTAGGGATACAGCCAATGTAAGAACTCATATAATGATTAGAACTTGTTTTAGTGTTAGGGTTAGGTCTAGGTTTAGGGTTAGGTTTAGGTTTAGGTTTTGAGTGATGTTTAGAGGTAGGGTTAGTGTTAGGTTCAGAGGCAGGGTCTGGGTTTGTTTTAGGGTTAGGTATAGGACTCGAATTAGGGCTAGGTTTAGGGCTAGGTGTAGGCTTAGGGTTTGGTTTTTATGTTCAAGTTTAGGGTTAGGGCTAATGTAAAGGCAAGTGATAGAATTATGGTAAGTGATATGGTTAGAATTAGAAATAGGACTAATGCGAGAGTTAGAGTTAAACTTAGGGCTAGCATTAGGTTAGGTTTAGGTCTAAATTCGGTCTAGGATTAGGTCTAGCATTTGTATTAGGGTTAGGCCTAGTTTTAGGCTTAGGAGTAGGTTTAGGTATAGGGTTAGCTTTAGAAGAAGACATGGGGATATAGCTAGTTTTAGGGCTAGGTAAAAGGTTAGAATTCAGTTAGGGCTAGTGTTATGGTTTTGATTAGTAATAAATAAGGCTAGGGTAAGGGCTAGGATGAGGGCTAGGGTTTCTTTTAGTGTTTTGGCAAGAATTAGGGCTGGGGCTAGTGTCAGCTTTAGGCTTATGTTAGGGATAGATTGAGGGTTAGATTTATGGCTAGGACTAGTGTAACAGTTTGTTTTAGGGTAGGGGTCAGGTTTAGAGCTAGGGGTATTATTAGGGTAAGAATTAGATTTCAGGTTTGGTTTAGGTTTAGAGCTTGAATTAGCATTAGGGTTTGGTTAGGGTAACGATAGGTATGGATTTAGGGTTCATGTTAGGTGTAGGGTAAGTGATATTGTTAGAGTTAGCTAAAGGGTTAGGGTTAGGCCTAGGGTTAGCCTGAGGGTTATGGTTGTGCTTAGGATAATGGATAGAGTTAGGGCTAGGGTTATGGTTTGTATTAGGGCTAGAGTTAGGGTTAAGCCTAGTGTTAGGTTTAGGTTCAGGTTTAGGATGTGGTTTAGAGTTTGAGGTAGGGTTAACTCTAGGGCAAGGGTTAGGTTTAAGGTTAGGTCTAGGTTATAGTTACAGTTAGGATCAAGGTATGTGTTAAGTTTAGTGATAGGGTTATCATTAAGTTTAGGGTATTGGATAGGGTTTGATTTTGTGTTAGGGTTATGGTTAGGGTTAGGTTTTGCCTTAAGGTTAGGATTAGGGATAGGCTTAGTGTTAGGTTTAGGGTAATGGTTAGGATTTGAGCAGGGGTTAGCTCTATGGCAAGGTTTAGGTTTATGGCTATGTCTAGGGTTAGAGTTAGGGTAGATTTAGGTTAATGGCTAGGGTTATCATCAGGGTTAAGTTTAGGGTTAGGGTAATGGGTAGGGTTAGAGCTAGGGTTAGGGCTAGGGCAATCATTAAGGTTAGGGTTAGAGTTAGGGTAATATTAGGGTAATATGTAAGCTTAGAGCTAGGGTTAGTGATAGCGTTAAGGTTAGGGTTAGGGCTAGGGTTAAGTTTAGGTTTAGGTTTAGGCCATGGTTTAGTGTTAGGGTTAGGTTAAGTTTAAGGGTTATGGATTGAGCTAGTGTTTGGACTAGGATGAGGATTAGGGTTAGAGTTAGTGTGAGAGTTAGGGCTAGGGTTAGCATTAGCATTAGGGTTAAGGTTAGGGTAATGGATAGAGTTAGAGGTAGGGTTTGGCCTATGGTGATGGCTAGTCTCAGGTTTAGTTATATGGCTAGGTCTAGTGTTAGGGTTATATTTTTTGTTAGGATAAGCTTTAGATCTGGGTTTGTGTTAGGGTAAGGGCCAGTGTTTGGTATAGGGTTAAGTTTATTGTTAGGGCCAGTGTTATGTCTAAGGTTTGGTCCAGGGGTAGCATTAATATTTGGGTTAGGTTAAGGGTTATTATTATGTCTACGACTAAGTTATTGTTTAGGGACAGGCCTTGAGTTATCGCTAGATAAAAGATGAAGTGTAGGTCTAGGTCTAGTGTTAGGGTAACGTTTATTTATAGGGTTACAAGTAGTGACAATATTAGGGGTCGGTTTAGTGTTAGGGTCAGGTTTAGTTCTATGTTTTTTTTTAGGGTCAGAATAAGGGTCAGGGTTTGGGACAGAGATAGAGCTAGGTTGAGGATTAGGGTTAGAACTAGTAATAGAGTTAGGTTTTGGGTTAGGCTAAGAATTAATTTTAGGTCTAGGTTAGCTTTACTGTTAGAGTTTGGCTTAGGGTAAGGGATACGGTTAGCACTAGTGTTAGGGCTAAGGTTAGGGTTAGGGTTAGGGCTAGGGTTAGGTTTAGGATTAGGTTTAAAGCTAGGGTTATATCTTGGAATTGGGCTAGGCTAGGTTTGGTGTTATCTTTAGGGCTTCGGGTAATGTAAGAACTAGTGTTACAATTAGGGCTAGTTTTAGTGTTAGTGTTTCATCTGGGTTTAGTGTTTGGTTAGGTTTAGTGTTAGGGTTATGTTTATGGTAATGGATAAGTTAGGGTTAATGAATGTGTTAGGGTTAGGCCAAGGGTTAGCATTAGGGTTAGGATTAGGGTTAGTGTTAGGGTAATGGATAGGGTTAGAGCTAGGGTTAGGGCTAGGTTTATGGTTAGTGTTAGTGTTAGGGTTAGTGTTAGGTTTAGGGCTACTGCAAGGATTAAAGTTAGGGTTAGGTTTAGGGTAAGTGTTAGGACTTGGTTGAGGTTTAGAGTTAGGGTTAATGCTAGGGTTGGGACTCGCATTAGGGCTAGATTTTGGATTACATTAGGGAAAGTGTTAGGGATACAACTAATGTAAGAACTAGGGTTATGATTAAGGCTAATTTTAGGGTTCCAGTTAGGGCTAAGTCTAGTTTTAAGGTTAGGTTTAAGTTCCAGGTGATGTTTTGAGCTAAGGTTAGTGTTAGGTTCAGAGTCAGGGTCAGGGTTCATTTTTGGGTTGGGGATAGGACTCAAAA